TGGGGTGCCCAGACACACTTAAAACATGCCCTGACGTGCATAAACACGCCTAAAACATGCCTTGACGTGCATAAACACGCCTAAAGCCTTCAGGGTGCCCGACCATCCATGGAACATGCTCTGACACGTTTACACTGGGTTCAGACGTCTCTCGCTCTGCCCCAACGTGCTCTGACACAAAGCCCCCCCCAACACCAACCCCCCCACCCCAAACCCGCCTCAGTGGATGTTGGTGCTTGAGAACGGGGTCTCAACACGCTGAACATGCTGGGGAGGGGCTTGGGGTGCCCAGGAGGGCCCAGTTTTGGAGGTGCCGGGGGCAGATTGGGGTGCCCGGGGGACAGTTGGGTACCTGGGGGGGGCTGTTTGAGGGTGCCCAGGGGCAGTCCAGGGTACCCAGAGGGCAGTTTGGGGTGCCCAGGGAGTAGTTTGGGGTGCCACGGGGTTTCAGGGTGCCAGGGTCAGCTTGGGATTCCAGGGGCAGTTTGGGGTGTCAGGGGCAGTTCAGGGGTGCCTGGGGGTCAGTTTGGGGTGCCAGTGGCAGTTCAGGGGTGCCCGGGGGTCAGTTTGGGGTGCTGGGGGAAGTTTGAGGTGCTAAGGGCAGTTAGGGATGCCAGGGGCAGTCCACGGCACTTGGGAGATCAATTTGGGGTGCCCGGAGATCAGGGGTCAGTTTGGGGTGCTAGGGGCAGTTCGGGGGGCCTGGGGTTCAGTTTGGGATGCCAGGAGCAGTTTGGGATGCCAGGGGCAGTTTGGGATGCCAGGGGCAGTTCAGGGGTGCCCGGGGTCAGTTCGGGGTGCCTGGGGCTCAGCTTGGGGTGCCAGGGGCAGTTTGGGATGCCAGGGGCAGTTCAGGGGTGCCCGGGGGTCAGTTCGGGGTGCCTGGGGCTCAGCTTGGGATGCCAGGGGCAGTTCGGGGTGCCGGGGTCAGTTTGGGGTGCCAGTGGCAGTTCAGGGGTGCCCGGGGGTCAGTTTGGGGTGCCAGGGGCTCAGTTTGGGATGCCAGGGGCAGTTTGGGGTGCCAGGGTCAGTTTGGGATGCCAGGGGGTCAGTTTGGGGTGCCAGGGGCAGTTCGGGGTGCCCGGGGGTCAGTTTGGGGTGCCAGGGGCAGTTCAGGGGTGCCCAGGGGTCAGTTTGGGATGCCAGGGGCAGTTTGGGATGCCAGGGGCAGTTTGGGGTGCCAGGGTCAGTTTGGGATGCCAGGGGCAGTTTGGGGTGCCCGGGGATCAGTGTGGGATGCCAGGGGCAGTTTGGGATGCCAGGGGCAGTTCGGGGTGCCCGGGGGTCAGTTTGGGGTGCCAGGGGTAGTTCGGGGTGCCCGGGGGTCAGTTCGGGGTGCCTGGGGCAGTTTGGGATGCCAGGGGCAGTTTGGGGTGCCCGGGGGTCAGTGTGGGATGCCCGGGGCTCAGCTTGGGGGCTCACCAGGCCGTGCTCGTCGAAGGCGCCGGCGCAGAGCTCCTGGTAGAGCCGGGGGTCGAGGGGCAGCTCCTCGTCCGAGAGGCTCTCGGGGGGCCCCGGCCCCAGCTGCGCCTTCAGCAGCTCCAGGTCCCCCTCGCGCCCCCGCGCCAGCTGGGGGGGGTCAGCACTGCCAGGGACCCCCAGCACCCCCCACCACGGCACCCCCGGGACCCCCCCATGGCACCCTCAGGACCCCCTTATCAGCTGGGAGGGTTTCAGCACCCCTGGGACCCCCCCATGGCACCCCCGGGACTCCCAAGGACCCCCTTGTAGGCTGGGGGGGGTTCAGCACGACCAACACCCCCCCACGGCACCCCTGGGACCCCCTGACGGCATCTCCAGCACCCCCTTATCAGCTCAGGGGGGGTCAGCACTGCCAGGGACCCCCCCAGGACCCCCGCAGCACCCCCTCACACCAGCTAAGGGGGGTCAGCACCTGCCCAGACACTGGCACCCCCACTCCAGGAGACCCTCCCACACCACCCCCACCCTGGGGACCCACAAGGCCCCCTCTCACCCCAGGGGGACCGCAGATTTTGGGGCACCTCAACCCCCCATCCCCCATCCCGTCCCCTCCCATCCAGACCCCCCCAGCCCCAGGGCCCCGGTGACTCACCGAGGTGGGGAAGTACTTGTAGGACTCCTGTGGGGACACAGTGGGGACACGTCAGGGACACGGGACAGGGTGGTACAGGGACAGGGAACACGTCAGGGACATGGGATAAGGTGACACAGGGACACAGGACACGTTGGGGACACGTCAGGGACATGGGACAGGGTGACATGGAGTCATGGGAGCAGGTGACACAGGGACACGTCAGAGACACAGTGACACAGAACCACACCAGGGACAAGCTGGGGACACACTGGGGCCACCCCAACCCCTCCAACCCCCTCCCCAAGACCCCCAAACCCCCCCTGACACTGAGCACACAACAAGCACACGCCGAGCACACACAGACAACATGTGAAGGACTCACCCCACGCCAAGACCACGCTCAGCACACATCACTGACCCCACAGAACACGTGACCATGCCAAGCACATGCTGAGCTCACGCCAACGTCACATCAACACCAGACTACGGTGACACCGAGCACGCGCTTCAGCCATGCCAAGAACACACCAAACACATGCTAAGGACACGTACCCAGCACACACAGGCCCCACACCCAGCACCTGCTGGGCACACACTGAGAACACGCTAAGGACACGCCAAGCACACGCCAGGCCCACGCCAAGCCCCGCTCACCCGGGCCCGCAGCTGGCACTGCCGCAGGCGGCACTTCTGGCGGATCTTGTTGGGGCCCCCGAACTTCTTCATGTCCCGGCAGAAATCGCACTGCCCGCAGTCCTCGGGCCGGCGGCACGCCTCGCACTCCCCGCACATGCGGGCTGAGCGCTTGATCTGGGGGGCACAGCCAAAATCACACCCCAAATCACACCCCAAATCACACCCAGGGACGCCCCTGCCTCGCACTCCCCACATGTGTGGGCTGAGCACTTGATCTGGGGCACAGCCAAATCACACCCCAAATCACACCCCAAATCACACCCAGGGACGCCCCTGCCTCGCACTCCCCACACATGCGGGCTGAGCGCTTGATCTGGCGGGGCACAGCCAAAATCACACCCCAAATCACACCCAGGGATGCCCCCACCTCACACATCCCACACGTGTGGGCTGAGTGCTTGGTCTGGGGGGGGCTCACACCCCCCAAAACCCACCCAGGTGGGACGCAGGCACCTAGAAGGGGCTCAGAGGTCCATCCCCCAAAGCACTCCATATAGGGAACCCCCAAATCTGCACCTTAAAGGACTGGGGCACCCCTGGTGTCCCCCACACCACAGGGTGCCTCCCGGTCTGGGGCTCCACCTTGCTGGTCTGGCCCCAGGGCCACCCCCAGGACCCCCCAAGCCCACCTTGGCTGCCCGGCCCTGCTCCAGCTCCTGCCCCTTGGCCCCCTCGTGCTCCTTCTCCCGCCACTTCTTGTGCCGGTACCGGATCTCCAGGGACGGGTCCTTCTCTGGGAGGGGGGGAAAGAAGGGGGATCAGGGGGACCCTTCATTCACCCCCAGCCCCCCCATCTGCTGCTGTCACCCCATCACTGAGGGGCCTCGATGTCAGGGACCCCCATTTCCCCTTTCAAACCTTTCAGCCCAGATCCCCCAACCACAATCCTGGCAGCAAGGACCCCCCAGAATGGAGGGGCTCCTCCCTCCAAAACATACCCAGGTGGTCAGGACCCCCCAGCATCCCTCCCCAAACCCAAACCTCCCCTCTGACCCCCCCCAACCAGCTTCTCAGCCCCTCCAAACTCCCCTCACCGCAGCACTGGTGGCAGTGCCAGCCCGGGGTGGCCCCCCAGCCCCCTCACCGCAGCACTGGTGGCAGTGCCAGCCCCAGATGGGTCCCCCAGCCCCCTCACCGCGGCACTGACGGCAGTACCACTCCCGGATGGCCTTGGCCATGCGCTCGGTGATGTTGATGCAGTCCCCATGGAACCACTCGTTGCAGTTGTCACACCCGCTGTGGATGGGGGAGGGGGGAACACATCGAGACCCTCAGCTGGGGAACCCCCCCGAGGGTTCCTCCATCCCTCCCACCCCAAGGGAGCCCCCGCTGCCCCCCCTTCAAGGGATCCCCCAAGAGACCCCCGGAGCCCCCAACCCCCACCCCGAGAGGTATCCGCTCTCCCCCAGCCCCAGCCCTGAGGCCCCACCGGGGTCCAGAGCCCTCCACAGCTCCCCCAACCCCCTGACAGGAGCCCTCACTCCCCCACCCATCGGGAAGCAGTTGGACCCCCATCTCCCCTCGCATCACAGAGCAGTCGATGTTGGGATCCCCCCCGTTCCTCCCTCACATCACGAAGCGTTTGGGGACCCCCCCAAACCCCCCCATTCCCACACTCCCCCCTCACATCATAAAACAGTTGATGTCGGGCTTCCTGCACACGCAATAAACCGGCGCGTTCTCCTCCCCGCCCGGCGCCGCCTCCGCGTCCGAGAACTCGCTGTCCTGGAGGGGGGGGCAATGGCGGGGGGCGCCGGGTCACGGCCGGGGATCACACTGGGGCCCCCACAGCCCCCTCCGGACCCTCAGCCCCCGCCACAGATTCTCCCCCAGCCCCCATCCCTCTCCAGCCCCCACAAAGACCCTCCTAAACCCCCCAGAGCTCCTCCGCTCCCCCCACCATCGCTGCCGCCACCGCCGCCACCGAGGGACCCTCCGGGCCAGGCCCCGCCGCGGCCGGAAGCGAAGGGCGTGCCCGACTTCCGCTTCCGCCTGAGGTCGCGCCCGCACCCAACATGGCGGCGCCCATAGAGGGCAATGGCGGCGGCTGCTGGGGGCCGCCATGTTGGGGGAAGTGTTACCTGCGCCCACCACCGCGGGGCCCCAAAGAAACACGTGAGAGGTGACGGTGATGGGGGTGACGTTTATTGGGGGACATGGGTGTGTTGGGGACGTGGGGGGACATTGGGGGACATGGGGGGTTGGGGACGTGGGGGCAATTGGGGACATGAGGGGCAAGTGGGGGCAATTGGGGACATGGGGGCAATTTGGGACATGAGGGGAAATGGGGACACAGGGACATCGGGAGACATGGAGGGACATGGAGGGACACGGCGGGGGATGTTGGGGACATTGGGGACACGGGGATGTGGGGGGGACATGGAAGGACATTGGGATATGGGGGACATGGAGGGGGACAATGAGGGATTGAGGGGACACGAGGACATGGGGGGACACAGGTGACGGGTGACACGCAGCTGGCACAGGTGTCCCACAGGTCACACGGCTGCCTCACAGTTGACGTGCAGGTGGCACAGGTGACACACAAGTGGCACACAGGTGACACAGCTGTCCTGTAGGTACCACACAGGTGCCTCACAGGTGACACAAGTGACACACAGCTGCCACACAGGTGCCCAGGTGTCCCGCAGGTCCCTCCTGTCTCTTCTTCTGTCACTCCTCCCAGGGCAGCTGCAGCTGCTGCAGCTCCTCTGCCAGCCTGGGGGGTGGGGCCAGGGGTGGGTGTGGCCCCAGGGGGCCCAGGTGTCACGACCACACCTGTCCCAGGTGGGGTCACACCTGTCCCGGGTGGGGTCACACACCTGTCCCAGGTGGGATCACACCTGTCCCAGGTGGGGTCACACACCTGTCCCAGGTGAGGTCACACACCTGTCCCGGGTGGGGTCACACACCTGTCCCGTCGCTGAAGGTCCAGCTCCCGCCGGCCCAGCTCCACCTCCAGCTGCTGCCGCGCCCCCTCCTGCTCCTGCTCCACCAATCGCCTGCAGGGCGGGGGCCAGGTGTGGGGCGGGGCCAGGTGTGGGGGCAGGGGCCAGGTGTGTGGGCGGGGCCAGGTATAGAGAGGGTCAAGGTGTGTGGGGCAAGGCCAGGTGTGGGGGCAGGGCTGGGCACTCACACGGCCTCGAGGCCTTCTGGGCCCAGCTGCTCCTCCAGCTCCATCAGGCACCGCTCTGTGGGGGCACGGGGGTTGGGTCAGCCCGAGGGGTCTGGGGGGCTCAGCAGTCTGGGGGGGTCACTCAGGTGTTGGGGTCTCACCCAGGCTCAGCAGCTTCTCCCGTGTGCTCTCCAGTCGCACCAGCTCAGCCTCCAGGTGGGCCGGGGCCTGCGGGGGGGCACAGGTGTGTGGGGGGCACAGGTGTGTGTGTGGCCTCCCCAGGTGTGTGTGTGACCCCCCAGGTGTGTGGGGGCACCCCAGGTGTGTGAGGGTGACCCCAGGTGTGGGGGTGACCCCAGGCCTCACGTGCGTGTTGCGCAGGCGCTTGTGCTCGTCTATGATGGCGTCGAGCTCCTGCCAGAACTCCCACCTGAGGGGGGTGACACACAGGGGTGACACAGGGATCATGTGACCTGTGTAGATCACCTGGCGCAGCTGCCAGCCCACCTGTGTCCCTGACAGGATTGCCCACAGCCACCTGTGTTCCCAGACCCACCTGTGTCTCCCCAAACCCACCTGTGTCCCCCAATGTCCCACCTGTGTCCCTCCCACACCCACCTGTATCCCACCAAACCCAGCTATGTCCCTCAAGGTCCCACCTGTGTCCCTCCCAGACCCACCCATTTGCCCCCAAACCCACCTGTGTCTCCCAAGGCCCCACCTATGTCCCCCCAGCCCCACCTGTGTCCCCACACCCACCTGTGTCCCCCATGCCCACCTGTGTTCCCGGCGCAGGTGCCGGAGCTGCTCCCGCTGTTCCCCTGCCCCCTCCAGGCCCTGCTGCTGCTCCAGGCAGAGCCCCCGGCGCCTGTGGGGGCACCAGGTGTGTTCTGAGGTCCCGTGGGCAAAGGTGGGGTCGGGGGGGGTCACGGGTGTCCAGGTCCCCCCACTCACCTCTGACCTTCAGCCTCCACCTGCTTCCCGTGCAGCCGCACCGCCCGCAGGGAGTCTGAGGGGGCCAGGGGGCAATGGGGTCAGGGGGTGTCAGGGATCAGGGGGAATCCTGGGGGGGGTCAGGGGGATCACAGGGGTTGAAGGGTCAGGGGGATCACAGGAGTTGAAGGGTCTGGGGAGGTCAGGGATTTCACAGGTGTCAGGAGGAATTAAGGTGGGGTTTGGGGGGGTCAGGGAGGATCAGGGGAGCATTGGGGGTGGGCCAGAGACCTGCCCCCACCCCAAAGGCCCTGAGGCCCCTTGTCCTCACCCTGCACCTGCTGCCAGAGCCCCTCCAGTGCTTCCTCGTGCTGCTCCACTGTGGGGAGTGGGGGGTGGGTCAGCTGGGACCAGGGACCCCCACAGCCCTCCGTGTCCCCCCACAGCCCTCAGTGACAGCCCCAGGCCCCTAAGTGACTCTCTTAGCGTCCTCTCCAGACCCTCAATGACCCTCCCACACCCCTCAGTGATGCCCCCACACCCCACAGTGTCCCCCCTCCGTGTGACTCACACTGCTCCACGTGCTGGCGCAGCCCCTCACTGTGGCCTTGTGCCTCCTCCAGCTCCTTCTCCGTGGCCTGACGGGCTGTGGGACATGGTGGGATGGACAGAGGGACACGTGGGACATGGGGGGACACGGGGGACACAGGGACATGGTGGTCCCTCCACTCACCGCTCTGCAGGCTGTGGATCCGTCTCAGCAGCATCTCGAGCCGTGGGACCCCCCCTGGGGGATCTGGGGGGAACTGGGCGAGACACAGGGACAACGTATCCCTCGGGGACACTCTGGGACCCCTTGTCCCTGGGGCGGGGGGACACAGAGACACACGGGGGTCTCGGGGGGTCCCGGCCACAGAGCCCCTCACTGCGCGGGTCCGTGTCCATCGCTGCAGCCTGGGGGGACATGGGGGCACACGGGGGGACATTGGAGGACATGGGACAACATTGAGGGAACACAGGGGCACACGGGGGGACATGGGGAGACATTGGGAATGTGGAGGGACACAGGGACATGGAGGGAACACAGAGGAACCCGGGGGCACATGGGGGGACACAGGAACATGGAGGGGACATTGGGGAACATGGGGGACTATGGGGGGAGCCATGGTGGGGCCATGGGATGGTGGCAGTGGGCGCTGGGCTGTCCCCTTGTCCCCCTCTTTGTCCACCCTTGCCCACCCTCAGCCCCATTTTCTCTCACGTTTCACCATTTCTGCCCCTCTTCCCTCCCTCTGCTCTCCCTTTTCCCCTCTTTTCTCCCGGTTCTCCTCATTTCTGTCACCTCCTTCCTCCAGTTCCTGCCTCCTCTGCCCCTTCTGTCTCTGTCTCCCCTCTCTCCAGTTCTGTCCCCTCTCACCTCCATTTTCTGTCACCTCCCCCCTCTTTCTTATCCCTTTTCACCCTTTTTTCACTCTCCTATTCCTCCAGTGTCCCTTTTTGTCCCCCCTCTCACCTTCTGCAGCTTTTTCAGCTCCTCACCTCCCTTCCCCTCATGTTTTCCCGCCTTTTTTTGGTCCCATTTTCCCGCCTTTCCCCCTCACGTTTTCCCGCCTTTTTCTCCATCACGTTTTCCCCTCATGTTTTCCCGCCTTTTTCCCCTCACATTTCCCCCCCTTTCCCCCTCACATTGTCCAACTTTTCCCCCTCATGTTTTCTCACCTTTTCCCCCTCACATTTTCCCCTTTCCCCCTCACGTTTTCTCGCCTTTTTCCCCTTTCCCCCTCACGTTGTCCTACCTTTTCCCCTTGTTTTCCCACCTTTTTCCCCTCAAGTTTTCCCACCTTTTTCCCCTTACATTTCCCCCTCTTTCCCCCCACATTGTCCTACCTTTTCCCCTCACGTTTTCCCGCCTTTTCCCCTCATATTTTCCCACCTTTTTCCTCAAGTTTTCCCACCTTTCTTTGTGTTTTCCTGCTTTTGTCACATTTTCCCACCCTGTCCCCCACATTTTTCCCCTTGCGTTTTCCCACCATTTTCTGTCCACTTTTCCCCTGCCTTTCTGTGCCCTTTCCCAGCCCTTTCTGTCCCCACTTTCTTTCCCTTTTTCACACCCAGTCACCTCTCCCAGTGTTCTTCCCTCTTTTCTGTCCCCTTTTCCCTCCATTTCTTGTCTCCTTTCCCATCTCTTTTGTCCCTTATTGCGTTCCATTTCATGTCACCTCTTCCAACCTTTCCTGACATTTTCTCACCTTTTCCTGTCATTTTCTGTCCCCCTTCCCTCTCTTTTCTCTCCGATTTTCCCTCTATCCTTTAAGTTCTTACCTACCTTTTCTGTCAGGTGTTTCCACCATTTTCTGTCCCATGTCCCTCCCATTTTCTGTTCCCTTTTCCCCCTCCTTCTCTCACCCCTGTTCACGTTCCCTCTCCCCCCTCCTCTCCCCCCTCAGGACGTGTCCCCCCTGTCCCCTCGACTCAGGACTCTTCCCTGTGGTCTCAGTGTTTATTGTCAGCCCTCGGGCTCGGCCCCGTCGGGGCGCGCGGGCGCGGCGCAGAACGGTGCCGGGTAGCGGATGAACAGCCAGTCCTCCTCCTTCTTGAGCCAGCGCAGCAGCTTGGTCAGCACCGCGATGGCTCCTGCCTTCGTCACCAGTGGGCTGAAGCAGCTGTACAGCTCGAATTTGCTGGTCACCTGCGGGAACCCGCGCCTGTTAACTCTGGGACCTGCTGATGGCAGTGCCAGCAAGCACCTGCTAACTCTGGGACCTACTGACAGCGCCCACAGTGAGCACCCATTAGCTCTGGAAACTACGAGAGTGCTCACAGAGAGCAACCCCCATTAACTCTGGAGCCCACTCACAGCAGCACAAACGTGCACTCCCTGTTAGCTTTGGGATCTACTGACTGTGCCACATACCCACAACTTCAGTAACCCTGGAACCTGCTGAGAGAACTGTGAGTGAACGCTGATAACTCTGGAGCCTCCTGACTGTGAGCACACCCTTCTCAACTCTGGAACGTGCCGACAGCTCCGCCCCTGCAGCTCACCCAGGCCAGGAGCGTTTCCTTCTCGGCCACGTGGTAGAGCAGGCGGAGGGGCCGGTGGGGGCTGTGCACGCGGCTGTGCAGGTAGTGGTACAGGTCGAAGAGCCGGTGCTGCTCCTCCTCGCTGGTGTAGGGCTCCTCCAGCTCGGGGCTGCAGGTGGTGGTGGGGGACATGGGCGTCAGGTGAACACCGGGGACACCCCCGCCCCCCTCCCCAGTTCTGGGGTGCTTCTCCCCCTGCACACCTGGTGAACTGAGGCAGTTGCTGCATCTCCTCGGGCCCCTCCAAGGGCTTGTAGAGGAAGTGCCGGAGCTCCGGGGCGCCAGCGCGGGAAGGGCCGTACCCCGCGCCCCCCCGCACGGCCGCGCCGAGCTCCGCCAGCCAGCCCTGCGCCCGCAGCGTGTCCTCCAGCTGCCGCCGGCACGCGGCCGCCGCGTAGAAGCCCTCCGCTCCGTGGACAGCAGGATCAGCGTCACGCCCTCCTCCTCCTCCTCGCCCAGCCGCGCCGCGTAGGCGTAGAAGTAGCCGTCGGGGTTGAAGCGGGGCAGGCACACGGGGGTCCACACCTCGCCCGCGCCCGCCCCGCCGCCCAGCAGGTTGAGGAGCAGGTGCAGGTCGCTGGCACAGAGCCGCCCGCCCTCGGCCAGCGCCCGCTGCCGCGCCGCCGTCACCAGGCGCCCGTGGGCCGCCAGCACGGCCAGGGCGGGCGCGGGCGGGCGGCGGCGGCGGCGCGGCGCAGGGCCCCGGACACGGCGCGGCGCAGCCCCGGGCAGGGGCAGGCAGCGAGCGGCCCCCAGGAGCAGCCGCCCGTCCGCCGCGGCCCCGCAGAGCAGCCGGTCCAGCACGGCCTCGGCACCTGCCAGCAGCCGGCGCAGGTCGAAGCCGCGGCGCCGCGCGAAGACGCGGGCGATGCCCCCGCGCGTCAGCAGCGACAGGATCTGCTCGTGCACGAACGCCAGCTCCCGCCGCAGCTGCGCCGCCGACTGCCGCGTGCGGGACACCGACACCAGCAGCAGCGGGCCCCGCTGCTCGAACACCAGCGTGCGGTCCTCTGGGGGAGAGAGGACAGAGGGTCATCAGGGGTAGGGAGACCCAGAGTGTGACATGACGCTGGGGACACCCCAGGGAGGTTTGGGTGATGGTTGTTTTGAGGGGAGCCAGGCGTGCCCACACAGGTGTTGTTTTGGGGGGGAAGGGTGTTGGTTTTGGGGTGTGGCTGTACCAAGGAGGAGGCCTGGGGGGAATGTGTTTTGAGGGGCTGGTTGTACTTGGGGGGGCTGTTCTGGTGGATTCAACTGGACTTGGGAAAGGTTGTTCTGGGTGGACTCCTGTATTTGGCGGGTGTGTACTCAGGGGGCTGTTTTGGGACAGTGTGGCCATACCTGTGTGTGGTTCTTTCAGGGGTACCCTGGGTGGGCCTGTGTGAGTTTGGGGTCCCATGTCCCTCCCCCTGCCGTGTCCCCCGTGCCGTACCGGAGCAGATGGCGCGGATGGCGTTGCCGCCGCTCTGGATGAAGGACACGAGGGCCATCATGACGCCCATGGTGGCTGCCAGCGCCTCCTCGTTGCCGTGCCGGGAGTAGATCGGCTTCCCGGCCTCGCTGAGCACGAACACGTGTTTGCGCCGCGCCCGCCAGCCCGCGGCTGCCACATCCTCGTCCGCCCCGCGCCGCCCGCCCAGGGCTGATGTGGCCGCTGCCGCTGTCACCGCCGCTGTCACCTCCTCCTCCTCGTCCCCAACAGGGACGCACCCTGGGGACGTCACCACCTTTTTCTCCTCCTCCTCCTCATCCCCAACGGGGGAACACCCCGGGGACGTCACTGCTGCTGTCACCTCCTCCTCACTGGGGTGACGCTCTGACGATGTCACTGCCACTGTCACCTCCTCTTCAAGCCCAACAGGGGGACACTCCGAGGACATCATTGCTGCTGTCACCTCTTCCTGCCCCTCACTGGGGTGACACCCTGGGGACGTCACTGCTGCCACTGCTGCCGTGTCCTCATCTGTGCTGTGCTGCCTGCCCGGGGCCAATGTGGCCTCTGCCACTGTCACCTCTTCCCGCTCCTCACCGGGGTGATACCTCAGGGATGTCACTGCCGCTGTCACTGCCACTTCTTCCTCCTCCTGCTCCTCACTGGGGTGACATCGTGGAGACCTCAATGCAATGGTCACCTCCTCCTCCTCCTCACCAGGGTGACCCCCTGGGGACGCTGTGGCTGCCACCTCTGTCGGTGCCACTGCCTTGTCCTCATCCCCACTGTGTCGCCCACCCGGGACGTCACAGCCGCTGCCACCTCCTCTTCCTCACCAGGGTGTCCCCCCAGGGACATCGTGGCTGTCACCGCCGCTGATACCTTGTCCTCCTTGTCCTGCCCGCCGTGGTGACACCCCAAGGATGGTCCCCACCAGGTTGGTCCTCACCACACCTGTGACAGGCAGGGGGCGCTGGGGCGGTGCCCGAAATCCTGGGTGGCCACGCCCCTCTGCAGAGGCCTCACCAGGGTGGGGCTCAGGGGTCCCGGGCTTGGGGGTCCCGGTGCTGCTGCCGCTGAGGCACCTGCAGGATGGGGGTGATGAAGGGGCGGGGCTCCTCGGGCCACGCCCACAGACATTAACCACGCTCCCCCCATGCCTCCAGCCCAACCTGGAGGGCCCCACCCACCGGGGGGTCTTCCCACCAGGCCACGCCCACGGGAATCAGGCCACGCCTCCTTAAACAACAAGCCACACCCCCCACAGAACCCCACCCAGAGCACGCGGTGCCCACACGTGGCCACGCCCCCGGCCGCAAAACCACGCCCCTGGCTGCTCTAAGACAGACCCCCAGAGAGGTCCCGTAGCCACGCCCCCAGAGACCACCACCAATCCCACAGCCCCGCCCACAGAGGCCTAAAAGCCCCGCCCCTCGACAAAGCCCCGCCCCTCACCACAGCCCCCTCCGGAGCGTCACCCCTGGCCTCCTCGCCCTGGCCCTGCTCCCCCGTGGCCCCGCCCCCTCCGCGCGCTCACCCTCCTGCCGGGGGCGGCCCTGCTCCCGCCGCCGCCGCCGCTTCGGGGCCGCCGCGCCGCGCTCCCTCGTGACGTCACCGCGCCGCCGCGCCCGCCAATCAACGCGCGGCGCGGGGGAGAGAGGGCGCGGCCGCCGCGCGCCGACCAATCAGCAAGGGCGGGGCGGGGCCTGGGGAGGCCCTTCTGGTGGCTTCCCCAGTGACGTCACGGGGGGCGGGGCTGCCGCACCAAGAGCCGCGTGACCGGGGGGGACCCCTGGACCCTCAAGGGGCCATAGGGACACCCCCAGGGGTCTGTGGGGGCCGTAGGGGACCATTCAGAGGCTCCCTGGGACACCCCAAGAGGCTCTGCAGGTGCCGTGCAGACCCCACCCCAAGGTCCCACAGGGCCTATAGGGCATCCCAGCTGAGCTGTGGGAACCAAGGGGACATCAGGGGTGCTGTAGGGGCCCCCAGAGGTTCTGTAGGCCCCCCAGAGGTGCTTTAGGGGACCTCACCCAGCCACAGCAGCTGTGGAGTCCATAAGGACTCACAAAATCCCTAGAGGGGCTTCAGGGAGCCCTCACAGAAGCTCTGTAGGGTCTGTTGAGCCCCCCAGTCCACTACAGGCACCAGAGGGACCCCAAAAAGCCCCACAGAGCCCCTAAAGAGCCCCCCCCCCAGATGATACAGGGTCTCTAGGGACTCCTAAAGGTGCCATAGGCACCCCTTGGAGCAGATTTAGCCCCCCCAGCTCGGGTCCAGCCCAGGGGTGGGGTTTAACCCGGGGGAGGGGCCTGGGGGACTAAAAACCCCCTGGTCCCCTCCATCTGCTGCACAGCTGGGACCCCCCAGGACCCCAATGGCTCCTCCACCGCCCCTCACCCATCTTAGCCTGGCCCGGGGGGTCCAGGTGAGAGGGGAAGCCGGGGGGGGGATGAGTACCAAGGGGTTGTGGGGGCGGTGCAGGAGTTGAGAGGGGTCCCTGGGGGCTCAGGGAGCCCTCAGGCATCCGGGGCGGGGTGGGGGCACGAGGGCTGAGTGGCACTTCCTGCCCCCGGAAAGGGGAAGTGAGAGCAGGGCCCGGGGCTGTGGGGGGGCCCACGGGAGTTTGGGGAGCTCGGGAAGGAGCTCAGTGGGAGGCCCAGGTGACCCCCTGCCCCCCAGCCCCCCCTGTACCAGGACGCCGTCGCCCGCCGGGCCCTGCGGCCCCCCCTGCTCAGGTGAGTCCTCGCTGGGGGTCGGGGGGAGCCCCGCACGGGGGTCCCTTCCCTTCCTTTCCCTTCCCCACCCTCCCCTCCCTCTCCCAGGAGTGTCTCGGTGCCGGCTGAGCCCCCCGCGCCCCCCCCCATGGATGTCACCTACGCCGTGGTCAACAAAGCCCGCCGGGGGCGGGGCCGCGGAAGAGACCCTGCCTCCTTCGGGCGAGACCCCGCCCCCTCGGGCACGTGCTCCCTCCCGGGAAGCCCTGTGCGCCGCCCCTCCCCCACCCCGGCAGGTGAGTGGGGGGCTGGGGGATCTGGGGCACCTCGGGGGCTGATCGGCTCTGACGACCCCCTGCCCCCCCAGGCTCCCCCAACCCGGCTGACGGCGCCTACGAGGTTGTGACACTCCCTGGGGACCCCGGGAATGGCCCCTGCCTCGGTGAGCGCGGGTGGGGGTGTTTGGGGGGTCCAGGGGGTCTGTGGTGTCTGGGGGGTTTCAGAGTTCAATGTGGGAGTTGTTCAGGGTGGGGAGGGGTTCAGGGGGACCTTGGTGGCTGGGGGTGGTTCAGGGGGGACATGGGGCATCTGCCACCCTCCCTCAAAGTCCCCCTGTCCCCCACCCCCCTCAGGGTTCAACTTCCGCATCGGGAAGCCCAAGGGCCCACGGGACCCCCCGGCCGAGTGGTCCCAGGTGTGAAGGGGAGGATGGACCCCTGGGCCCCCCAGAGCCCAGGAAGGGCCTCAGCAGAGCCTGGCCAATCACCACAGAGCTCAAAATAGCCAAAAAAGGTTTATTGTGACAAATAAAAAACGACTTTGAGACTCCAAGGTGTGTGAAACACCTGGGGGGTTCTGGCGGGGCCCAGGGGGGCCCTGGAACCTGGGGGGGTTCCAAGGCATCCAACAGGGTCCCAGTTGCCTGGGTGGTCCCACGTTTGCAGGAGGGTCCCAGCTGCCTGGGGGGGTTCGGGGGGGCTCAGGTGGCGCTGAGCAGGCGGCGCTTGGGGGCCGTGGCCGTGTAGGGGTGCCAGCGCCACTCCACGTCGGCGCATCGCCCTGCTCCAGCGTGCCCAGGCGGATCAGGTAGGCTAGGGGGGACACACGGGTGTTGGGGACAGTGGGGGACACAGGAAGACCCTCGTGGGGCTGTTGGGGACAGGGGTGGCAGTGTTTGGGGACACTGGTTGGGATGGGGGGACACTCACGGCGCAGCTGGAACCGCGGCCCCACCTCCTCCAGCTCCACCGTCCGCCCCCGGCGCCGGTACACGTGGTTCCTGTAGGGACAGGGGGGTCAGGAGGGCCCCACCCCAATCCCAGTGTCACCCACCCCCCATCACCCCCCCATGTCACCCACCGCACTAGGATGACGTCATCCTCGTTGGCAAAGGTCACCACGCGGCGGCTGTCGGGGCGGGGCACAGGGAACAGGTGCTTCAGGATGGTCCCCACCTGGGGGGGGGGACAGGGATGGGGTCAATGCACCCCTGGGACCCCCCTGTGTGCCCCATGAATGGCCCTGTGTCCCCATGTCCTTCCCCATGTCGCCCTGACTCCACCTGCTATCCCCCTTGTCTCCCCCAAAACTTCCCATGTCTCTCCAGAAAGCCCCCCACATCTTGTCACATCCCCAAATGCCGCCAAGTGTCCCCACATCACCCCATATCCCAACATTCACCCAGAGACCCCTCCATGTCCTTTCACATCCCTACATCCCCCCGAATCTGTGTCCCACCTTGTTCCCCATGTGCTGTGTCCCTCCCACATCTCCAATGTCTCCCCATGTCCCCCCATGTCCCTTTTGTCCCTGCCACATCCCTTTGCCTCCCCACGCCCCCCGTGTCCCCCCAGCCGTACCCTCTTGCCGAGGGTGGAGTCGAGGCGCAGCAGCAGCAGGTGGGGGGCGGCCAGCGGGGCCCCCCCGAGCCCCCCGACCTCCTGGCGCAGGACGGCCCCGCTCAGGGTGAAGTGGGCGGTGGGGCCGTGGGGCAGGTGGGACACGGTCAGCCCATCTGGGGGCAGGGCCATGTCAGGACACGCCTTTCCCAATGGGCCACACCCCAGTGATGCCAAGCACCACACCCCCCTTGGCCCCGCCCCATCAAACACCCACTTTCCCCTTCCTGTAGCCCCACCCCCAGGACACACCTTTGCCAAAGCCCCACCCCTTGGTCTTTAACCCCGCCCATCCCATAAGCCCCACCTGGAGACCCCCAGGGCCCTGCCCACCCTTGTGGCCCCACCCTGTTCTTCACAACCCTGCCCGTGATCATTAGCATATCCTGTTAGCCCCTCCCCCTTTGGGTGTCAGTTCCCTCTGTGGCCCCTCCCCCAGGCCCCTCCCCCACACTGACCGGGCCGCCCGCGGGTCTCGTGCAGCACCAGCAGGTCAGTGACCCCCGCGGCCCGGCAGGCCCCCACCAGGGCCCCCAGCTCGGCCCGGCCCCGGTTCATGCGCCGCGCGCCCGGGAGCAGCAGGCACAGCTCCTGCAGCGGGACAGGGCGGGGTCAGCGGGGACACACCCACTGGGACACACCCACTGATGGACACACCCACCTCTGGGCCCCGCCCCTTCTACAAGGACACTCCCACCCCCAGGCCAACCCGTGGGCAGGGAGCCACGCCCACACCCTGCCCACAAAGGGCCACACCCACCCAAACAGGCTCCACCTCCCACGTGCAAATCTTGGCGCAGATGAAGCTCCACCCCCAAAGGGGTGGAGTCAACCAAGCCCCTCCCATTGCCCCAACCCACACCCACTCTGGAAAGCAACAAGGCCCACCTGTGCCTGAGCTCACCCTTGAGAGAGGGGTACCCACCATACCCTGACCACACCCTGACCACATCTGACCCCACCCCTGACCCCACCCACTCTGACCACACCCATTGTGACCACACCTGACCCCACCTTGACCCCACCCACTCTGACCACACCCACCCACATCTGACCCCACCCCCTCAATCACACCCACCCCCTGGCCCCACCCACCCCAGCCACACCCACCCAAGCCCCGCCCACCTTAGCAAAGAGCCGCAGGCGGGCACTGGGGTCTCGCGACGTCGTCACCATCACCTTGGGGGGCTCCACCCCTGCCCACCGGTACTCATCGTCCTGGCTGCTGGTGGCACCTGGGGGGGGTGGGTGATGTTTAGGGGACTCTGGGGGGATTTGATCCTATTTTAGGGTGATTTAGGCAAATCCACTCTCATTTTGGAGCCCCTACGAGGACTTCTTGGCCCAACGTGGGGAAATGGGGCAGATTTGATCCCGTTTTGGGGCAATTTGGGTAAATCCTCTCCTTGGATTGGGGTGAGTTTGATCTCATTTGGTGGGGGGATTAAGAAAAATCGTCACATACTTTGAGGAAAAATGGGATGAATTTGCTCCTGAATTTGGGGGTCCCCCCATTTGGGGTCCCACTCACCCCCAGGGCTGTCGAAGTCGAACTCGAGCTCCTTCTGCAGGGCCAGGGCCTCGCGCCGCAGCTCCGTGGGCAGCAGCTGGTTCTCTGGGGGATGGAGGGGAGAGGGGGGCTCACACAGGGCCCCCAGCCCCAAATAACCCACCCTGGTCCCACAGCACCCCCACTCTTCCCCTCTGACCCATCTTTAACCCCCTCAAATGTCCCAAAGCCCCCTTTCCTCCTCCAGGTTGCCTTTATCCCCCAAATCCCTGTTAACCCCACTCTGGTTCTCCCCAAACTCCTCTTTACACCCCCAAACTCCGTTTAACCTCTTCTTTATCCCCTCAAAACTGCCCCATAACCCCTCCCAAATCTCCCTTATCTCCTCCCAAACCCCCCTTTGCCGCTTCCTGACCCTTCTTTTACACCCCCAAACCCTCTTTAACCCCCTAATTATCCCCTCCAACCCCCCTATAACACATCCCAGCCCTTCTCTCCCGACCATTCCCGGTTCCCGGTACCGTCCAGCGCCCTCCGCAGGCTCTCCCTCCTCTCCCGCTGCCGCTGCAGTTGCTGCTCCCGCGCCCGGCGCTGAAGATACTCCCGGCGCTCCCGGGCCTGGCGGCGCAGCTGGAACGGGGGGGGCACCGGGACACCGGGGGGGTCAGTGGGGACACCGGGACACGGGGGACACCGGGACAACGGGACAACGGGGGGGTCAGTGGGGACACCGGGGGGGCAATGGGGGGGATATCGGGACTCTGGGGAGGGGGACATGGGGATGTGAGGGTGACACCGGAGGGAGGGAACACGGGCATGTAGGGGGTTTTGGGGGGGCACGGGACACTGGTGGGGGGAACATGGAGGGATGAGAGGGATGGGGGGCGCTGGGAGGGGGACATGGGGACACTGGGGAAGGGGGCACGGGGATCTTGGGGGAGCCCCTCTGGGGGGACACGGGACACTGGGGGGGGGACATGGAGGGATGAGAGGGATGGGAGCACCGGGGAGGGAGCACTGGGGGACCCTGTGGGTGACACGGGAGGGACACGGGACCCAAACCCCCTCTCCGCGACCCCTCACCATGGTGGCGGCCGCTCCGCTCCTCACGCGTTGGCCTCGCCTCCCAGCGCCGCCGTCGCCCATTGGCCAAGAGCCGTCCGACCAATGGGAGCGCGCGGTGCTGCCATAGGGGCAGGGAAAGCTGCGCCCTCAGCCAAGATGGCGCCCGGAGCGGCGTCACCTGCCAGCGCTGCGGGCCCTCGGTCAGGCCCCGCCCCCTCCCCCTGCGCGCTCGATGATTGGTCGAGACGGCCCCGGGGGCGGCTGCCATTGGAGGAGGCGGGACCAGCGCTGAGGCCGCGGCGGCGGCGGCCATGGAGGGTGAGGGGGCGGCCATGGAGGGTGAGTGAGGGGCAGGGGGGGCTGAGTGAGGGGCAGGAGGGGCTGAGGGAGGAGCCGGAGGGCCTGGTGGTGTCCCCAGGGTCCCCCCGGTGTTGATGGGGAGTCCTATCTCCCCTTAGGGTCGCTGTCGCTGTCCCTGGACGAGGCGGCGCTGGATCTGATGGAGGCGCTGGAGCTGCTACAGGAGCGCCGGGAGCGGCTGGAGGAGCATCTGCGGCAGGTCGGGGGTGGGGGGGACATGGGGACACACCACCCGCTCTGGGGACACGTGTGGGGACGCTGTGAGGACAGAGGACACACCACTAGGATGTGCACCCCGGGTCCCCTCAGTCCTGTGTCCTCACTGTCCCCCCAGGGCTGGCTGTCCCTGTTCTGAGTCCCCACTGTCCTCACTGTCCCCCCAGGGCTGGCTGTCCCTGTTCTGAGTCCCCACTGTCCCCCCAGGGCTGGCTGTCCCTGGCCCAGGCCCGGTACTCCCTGGGGTGTCACCGCGTCTCGTCCCTGCAATACGGGGCCACCATGGTGCCCCGGGTGCGTGTGAGACACAGGTGGGGACACGGGGGGGACACAGGGATGTGGAGGGGGGACACTGGGACATCAGGGGGACCATGGTGGGGGGTGGCAGGGACACGGGGAGGACGTGGGATGTTGGGGACACTTGGCAGAGAGACACCGAGGGACACACAAAAGGACGTCCTTGATTTGGGGAGGTGACACAAGGGTGACACTGATGTCCCCATGGGGGGGGGGTTGGGGTGCAGGGTGGGTGTCGGGGGTTGTTGGGGGCTATCAGAGTGTTCTGGGGGGGTCTCTGTGGTGGCAGGGGGACAGCAGGGGTGGCAGTGACACCGTGTCCCTGTGTCACTCCCCAGGCAGGACCCAGAGGGACGCCCCCACTTTGAGGAGGTGCCCGGAACGGGGGGAGACGCCGAAGACTCTGAGCCCCAGCAGGACAGGGGTGACGGTGAGGGGGGATGGGGTGGTCCCAGGGGGGTTCTGGGGGCTTTAGGGTCCCTTGGGGGACCACGTGGGAACTGGGGGTGCTCAGGGGGGAAATGTGGGGTCCTGGGGACATCACCCATGGGTGCTGGGAGGCAGTGCTGGGGGGTGCAGGAGAGGAACTGGGGGTGCTGTGGGGTGTTCTCAGTTGTTCTCTGGGGGGTCACTGACCTTGTCCCTCCCCCCAGGGCTGCGGCAGCGCCGGAGAGTCCCAGAGAAAGGGGGGGCCCCTGCCCAGCCCCCCCAGACCCCCTGGGCTGGTTCGGGGTGCTGGTGCCCCCCAGTCTGCGGCAGGCACAGGGCAGCTTCCAGAGGGGTGAGAACGGGGCCCTAGCATGGGGGGGTGCATGGGGACCCTCCAAAACCAGGGGGGGTCTGGGGTGGTCCCTGAACCCTGGGGGATCCAAATCTGGGGCGTCCCCAAAGAAAAGGGGATCAACCAGAACTGGGAAGGGCCCGAAGGTCACGACCCCACGTGAGCCCTTGGGCCCCAGGGGTTACTCTGGCCGTGGAGGTGGCCGAGCTCCAGGGCACCGTGGACGCCGCGGCCACGCGGTACCGGCACCTCCTGCGGCAGAAACGGCTCCTGGGCGGGGACAGAGGGGACAGAGAGACCCCCGGGGACAGCAGCGCCTCAGGAACCCCGGGGGACACTGAGACCCCCAGCAAGATTGAGACCACGGGGATTCCGGATGATGTCAAGACCCAAGGGGACACAGAGGATGGCACAGTAACCGCTGGGGACACGGGGACTGTGTGACACGGACACTGAGAGCACCAGGGACGCTCTGCAGGTGACATGGGGGACACTGAGGAGCACCGGTGGCACCACGACCCGCAGGGCCACAGGTAATGGAGCCGTGCTAACCCTTCACAGGTGACACAGAGCCCGCCCAGGTGACACAGCACCTGCCCACGGGTGACACTGAGCCCCCCAGGGACCCTGCAGGTGACACTGAGACCCACTCGCGGGTGACACGGCAGCCCCAAGGACCCTGTGGGTGACACTGAGCTCCGCCAGTGGGTGGTGGTGCTGTCATGTCCCATGTGACAGGGCCACCCCAGGGCCCCCTGTGTCTGCCCCAATAAAGCTGTCGTGGTTCCACCAGCACTGTGTCCCCTCTGTCCCCATGTCACCTGGCAGCCATGTCAGTCCCGCGTGACCCCCTGGCCCCGCCCCTGCCCCACCCAATCAGTGGCTGCCCCTTTGCCAACGTCTATGTTTATTGGGCGGGGCCCTCGCCCCGCCCCCAGGCCCCGCCCCGGTGGGCGGAGCCGACACAACAACGACTATGGGGAGGGGTGGGGTGCAGGGGCGTGGTCTGTGGGGGCGTGGTCAGGGCGTGGCGCCCCCTAGCGGATGGTGTAGCGCACGTAGGGCACCTCGATGTCGGCGTCGGTGTCATCGTTGCAGCACAGCTCGAACACCAGAGCCTTGACGTGGCGGCCCAGCTTCTTCTTGGACACCCGGGTCACGATCTCCGTCATCCTGGGGGCAAAGCGGGGTCACAGGGGGGACACGGGGCCCCCATGCTGGAGATCAGCACCCAGAGGGGATGCAGCCATGGCCTGTCCCCACCACTGGGATCCCTCCTCGTTTCTGGGACCCTGTCTCTTTCCCACAGGATATGTCCCCACCCCTGGGATGTGTCTTTCAAACCCCATGTCCTGTCCCTCTCCCCAGACCCTGTCCTCATCCCCAAGACACATCCCCCTCCTCAGGATGTGTCCCCCTCCCCAGACCCTGTCCCCTCCCCAGGACATGTCCCCCTCCCCAGGACGTGTCCCCCTCCCCAGGACACATCCTCCTCCCCAGGATGTGTCCCCCTCCCCAGGACATGTCCCCCCCTGCCCTACGGTTGGTCGTGGCGCTCGCGCAGCTTCGCTGCCGGCATGAAGAAGGAGTAGAGCATGGACACGCCCTGGGACAGCATCGTGATCTCCAGCCGGTGCTCCTTCTGGGGGGACACACGCAGAGGACTCAGCGAGGCACAGGCACCCACGGCCACCCTGCCCCCCGCCCAGTCCCCCCCAGTCCGTCCCAGTACCTTGAAGTAGGCGAGGAACTGGCGCAGGGTCATCTCCTGCCCGTCAGGCTGCAGCCCCTGCACCTCGAACCGGTCCCACAGCGTCCACTCCACCTCGTAGTACTGGGGGGCACAGCACAAGGGTCAGAGCCCCCTGATGTGGGGGTCTGACCCACAGAGCCATGGCTGGGCACAAAGACCCACAGGGGCAATGGGGGGTCTTGGGGGGTCACTCAGACCAGGGGGTGATTGGGGCCCCTGCAGGTTCCCCCCCACAACCCCCGTGGGGTCAGGCAGCTGTGGGGCAGCAGCTCAGCACAACTGAGACCCCAAATCCCCTCCAGAAGTGAACCCCCCCTCCCCACACCCCCGAGGGCAGCCCCCTGGCCCCACCTTGTTGCGGGGGCAGGCGAGGGGCTCGGAGAAGCCAACGAAGGGCAGTGCCAGGTTCAGGAAGGCGTTTTTGTAGGAGCTGAGCCGGCGGTGCCCCTGCACCAGCTTGTAGAGCTCCAGGCAGGCCAGGCCCACCACGGCCGCCGTCGTCGTGGCGATGGCTGGGATGATCTTCCCCGCGATCAGTTTGCTCTGGAAGTGGGAGGGGCCTGTAGGGCCGGGGGGGAGCAACGGCCCCACTAACCCCCCCCAAGGGTCTGCAGCCCCCGAGGGCTCCACAGCCCCAGTAGACCCCATGTGAGTCCTGGACTCACCCATGTGTGACCCACACCCAGTAACAGCCCTGATAACACCCCACAGAATCCCCCCAGCACCCACAACTCCCATCACAACCCCAAGCACCCCCCATAGCACCCATGGGATCCACCACAGAATCCACAGGATCCCACATAGCACCCATTAGGACCTGCCCAACACTCACAGGACCCCCATTCACACCCCGGGACCCCTCCCCAGCCCCACCTTGTGGCGGTCGGCCGGGGGGATGTCGTAGTTCTCTGCACGCAGGTTGGAGGCAGCGACGATGAAATCCATGTGGAAGTTGGTGTCATCGTCCTGGCAGAGGGGCAAGGAGTGAGCACCCGGGGCTGGGGGGCACCCAGGGGTGGGGGTGAGCCCGCTCTGGGGTGGGGGGGCAGCACCCACCTTCTCGAAGTCGATGGGGAACATGCGGAACCCGGGCAGCTCCTCTGGGCTGGGCAGCGATGCCTTCAGCTCCTCCAGGCGCCCGTCGTCTGTGGAGCAGGGGGGGCACAAGTGGGACCCTGGCACCCATGGGATCCCAGTGGGACTCCACTGCATGCATGGGACCCTCCCAGCCCCCCAAATGCCCTCAACCCCAGCAGTTACCATAACCCTCTGATCCAACCACTGTCTCCTCTCCCAGTCCCCCTGAGCCTCCCCAGCCCCTCACCCAGAGCAGCACTGGCAGCCCCCCCCAAGCCCCTCCACACCCCCAGCCCCTCACCCAGGGCGGTGTTGGCGCTCTGCAGCTCCTGGTCGGACACGTGGATGCGGACGCCGGCCCTGGGCGTGAAGGGGGGGACGTGCACGTGGCGCAGCAGCTCGACCACGGCCGCCCGGTCCCGCGAGCCCGCGATGCCGTAGCTCTGCGCAAACAGGTTCGCCGCCGCCATCACGTAGTCCAGGTGCAGGGGCTGGAGGAGCACCGGGGTCAAGGGGGCACCCACGGGGCGTGGGCGGCACCCAGGGCTCACAGGTGACACCCGAGAGGGGTGGGATGACACTGAAGGGGGATGGGCGACACCCAGAGGTGCCACGTTCAGGAGTGAGGGGTATTAACCAAGGGCCATGGGGTGGGACCCAAACGGTGAGCAACAGCCACCAGGAGCGACATCCATCACCCAGTGGTGACATCCATCACCCACGGGTGACATCATTCACCCAGGAGTGACAGAGACCTCCCAGTAACGATGGCCACCCCCAAGAACCATGGGCTGACATTGGAAAGGGATAGAGAGCACCCAAAGACAGCAGAACCCAGTGACGGCCAAAGACCCCAGGGGTGATCGATGGCCCCCCATAGGGACTGATAGCACCTGAAGGATGTGCCCCCTCACCAGGTGACAGCCTCCCCTCCCCCCACAGGGCCCAACTCACATTGTCGGGGTCAAAGATGAGGGGGTGGGGGCAGCGCTTGGGCCCTGACCAGAACAGAGTCCCCGAGTTTGTTCTCTGCAGGAGAGGAGGCGAACGAGACAATTACGGGTTAATGAACCAACTGACGTTAACGACACTACCCCTGTGGGTGCCCTCCCCTCTCCCAGGGCCCCCCACCTGTTCCGGGGGGAAGTTGTGCAGCAGCTGGCGGATGTTGTTGTTGTACTGGCGGTGCCAGTGCCGACAGGCCCAGGCCACGCAGTCGGGCCAGGCCCGGGGCCGGTCGGTCACGAGGCTGCGCTGGACGGCCTCGAGCACCTCCAGCGGCTGCGTCCCCGCCAAGCGCAGCGTCCGCTCCAGGAACTTGGGGTCCCTGGGAAAACGGGGACAAGAAGAGTTACAAGGGTTTATGGTGGGTACAGAGAATCACAGAGAAGTTATGGGGTGGGTTATGGGGGGTACAGGTGTCCTGCCCAGGTGTAGCGTCCACTCCCCAGGAGAAAGGGGGGTAATGGGGTGCCATGGGGTGTGGGGGATGGGCAAGGGGATATATGGGTGCTGCATGTGAGGGATGGAGAACATATGGAACAGACTCATGGGGGGTTTGGGGGTGCTCCCTCTCCTCCACACTCACATCAGGTACTGGTTGACGTTCTCAGCCGGTTGCTTGAAGAGCCCCTCAAACTCGTCACGTGCCCACTGCAGGAGAGGGCCTGTCACTGGGGGGACCCCGGTGCCTGGGAGCCCCCAAAACAGGGACCCTGTACTCAGGACTCCCCAGAATGGGACCCCGGTGCCTGGGACCCCTCAAACGGGAGCCAGGGATCTGGGAATCCCCCAGTGGGACACCCAGACATCTAGGATCCCCCCAAAACAGGACCCTGGCACCTGTGGGCCCTTCATGGGGTACCAGGTGCCAGGCACACCTGGACACCCCTGGCAGGTGCTCAGCACACCTGGACGCACCTGGAGCGTGTGCTCGATGGCGTTGGGGAAGTTCTTGAGGGTGCAGATGGGAATGGCCTTCTCGGGGGGGTCCTGGCTGGAGCTGTACGACTCACTCAGGAACGGGATCACCACCTGCACGTTGCCCTTCGTGCCCAACGTGCCCGACTCCAGCAGCGGCTTCCGGTAGTAAACGCAGCGCCGGTCCATGTACAGCCCTGCCGGGACCCGGGGTCAGCTGGGGACACATCTGGGGGCCATGGGGCACCCCTTGGATATAGGGCATCCCAAACGGTGCCACGCCCCAGGGTGGCCCCAGAAAAAACCATTCCTTATAGGTCCGCAGAGGTCTCTCCATCCCCCTGAGAAACCCCAGAGCCCCCAAAGGACGTGCCCTGTGCCCCCCAGCCCCGGCTCACGGGCATCCACGTTGTCCAGGGCGTTGGCCACGCCGTCCAGCCCCTCGAAGAAGTCGTCATCGTAGACGCGCTCGGTGTCGGGCCCCACGCGGTCGGTGCGGCTGCTCACGCGCAGCGCCGGGTTCATCTCCCGCGCCGCCGCCGCCGCCCGCTCCGACTTCAGCTTCTGGGGGGGGGAAACACGGGGCTGGTGAGGGCACAGCCCTCCAGGACACACCCTCCTGAGCCGCACCTCCCCCTGCCTCTCCCAGTCCCGTGACACATCCACGAAACTCCACCCAGCCATTGACCTACACTGAGCTGACATTGAGCAACTCCCGGTGGCAGCGTCTTGGTGGTGCTTGCCCAAGCGCCATCACTGCCTCCACCTGCTCGCCCTCCTCCCCAACTCCTCCCTTAGGCCCCTCCAATCAACACCCACCTTCATCCAAGTCACTGCTGACCGACCCTATGGAGGTTCCCAACCCTTGAGGCCCCATCCCCTCACCGTGACGTCCCAGGGCCGAAACAGGAACTGGCGGTTGAGGTTGGACTTCTCGATGGTGTCCATGTCGGTGACAGTGATGCTGCCCTCGGGGCCACAGCCCAGCCCCACCATCGCGAAGTTTTTGAGCAGCTCACAACCAATGGCCCCTGCCCCCACCTGCCAGGGACATGTA